GACCTAGACCCATTAAGGATAAGATCTTTTACAACAAATTAAATAAAACAATTTATTGAAGTCTGGACTCAAGATAAGCTAGATTTACTAGCTGACCTTTTATTCATTTAAAGAACAAAATTAGCTCTAATTGCATTAGAATGGAATCCAGTAAATTTTCCCAAGTCTTCTAATGTGGCATCCATGTAAGAACTGCTGTAATTGTTTACAAGTAAGATGGAAATGCTGTGATTATAATCTTTCCACTTGTTTTACTATGTAGTAAAAGTATTTCCCAAAACTTAAAGCCAGTTTTTCTGACAGTATACTATTTTTTTTTCTCTTAAGCATATTGCATTGTTGATGCTAATGAACAAATTGCAATGTGCCGGGGGAAAAAAATTAAATTTAGAGACTTCATCATAATTCTAGGTCAGTTAAAAATGAGAGTGATATTAAAGGATCAAGAACTCCTTGTTTGGATAAACCAGAAAATAACTGAAGATCTCAATAAGAAAAATTTTACCTACTAGGGAAAAATAAATAAAACAAATTAAATAATATGAGAGTTCATTTTTCTTAAAAATATTTTAAATGATTAGGGCTGGCAGATGGCGTGGTGGTTAAAGGTGCTGTACTCCCACATGGCCAACCACGGTTCGAATCCCAGACAGACCTGGTGGCTTACTTTCTCTCTTTTTCTTTCTCACTCTGTCCCTCTCTGGTCAAATTAAAATAAGTAAAGTTAAACAAAATAATTCTTTAAAAAATATTTTAAATGAGTATTTTTATAATTGTCCACAATTATTGTCTAATTCTACTGTCAAAAAGCATTAATTGGAAAAATCCAGATCACATGAAGACAAGAGAATAGTTACAAATATTTTGTTTTTAAAGATTAAGCCCTTTATATTTTTTTCAGGATTAACAAGCAAAAATTTAGCTCCTATTTTCACCACAGTCAGAAATAATTTAAAAATTGCAACTATTACAAAGCACCCCCACCCCCCCAATTACAAAGCCCCCCCCCCCCCAAGCATAAGCTAAACTCTGTAACAAAAGCTGAATGACATGAAAAGGAAAGCATCAAATTTGCAGCACCTCTGAGAGGGCTGATGAATAACTTTTAGAATTCTAAGAAACCACTGCAGTTGCCACTAGAAATCAAAATGTCAGTAGAAAGAAAACTATATGTAATAAAATGGCCTTTGAAAAATATATCAACATAATTTGTACATACTGAAAAAAGGATTAAGCTGTCATACAGGATACCTATTATGTACTTTCAGTCAAAGAGAATTTAGAATTATCACTGGTAACAATATTGTCCCCCAAAAGGCAGAATAAATGATTCCTGTATCACTTGATCAAATGTATTATTAGATATTAATTAGGAAAAAAAAGAAGACCAATCATTATGGGACAGCTGGAGGGGCCCAACTAGTCACCCCTTCTCTGGCGAGCTTACTGAAGGAAGGCAAAAAGGTACTGAGAACAGGACGAGCAGCCCACAGTTTCCCAATACAGTCATCCCAGCCGTCAGCATAAATAGCACCGCTGGGCAGAAGAGCTACTCTGCCCATGGGGAAGAGTGGATACATTTATGGAAAAGGGTAGAAGCTTCTTGGAGTAGATACATTTATGGAAAAGGGTAGAAGCTTCTTTTAAGAGGATGGCATTAAAAAACACATTTAAGAAATGTAGGTGGAAGAATGCTTATGTTCCTACCCTTGTCATTATTCACCCTAAATTCTTTCTGTAAATTCACATTGTATTCCCCCCCCCCCCCCCCCGAGAGGTTTTCGCTATAGGGTGCGTGCGCTCACCAGAAAGAGAGAGACAGACAGAAAGTGAGAAATCACCCTCCATTCTCCTCTCGGGATCTTGGGCACACACGCATGCACCCGGTGTGAGTTTAAGCTACCAGGTCTGGGACTCGAATTGCGGTTGACTACATGGGAGTCCAGAGACTCCATTACGCCAACTACTGGTCCCCACACTGTATCTTTCAGTATCTTTAATATTTAAAGTTACCTTTTTCATAAGAGTCCTTGAACACATTTATAAATGAATACAGTCATATTTAAATTTAGATAGTTGTGGGTCTTATCTTGTCATGTCTTTCCTGACAATTCTATCTAAGTAGTCCCTGTCCCTAAGATATTCCATCATATTACTTTGCTCTATTTCCTTCACATAAATGAATGAAAGAATGAATACCACAGTCAGGTAAGTTTTCATACAGTTGCTCAAAATAAACTAATTTAGTGAATAATACCACGGTGACAACTAACATGGTGACTGTGCTGCTCCTCTCCCATCTACCATAGTGACATGACATGTACCGCGCTCTCTGCCCCCAGTCCAGGTGGGACCTTAGGACCCTGATCAAGAGAGTTCCAGGCACTACTGGGATTTAGTTGCTCCTGGGCAAGCTGAAATCTGCTTGCTACTTCACATCAAGGCAAGACCTGACTCTCAGGTCTCAGGTATTTCAACAAGGAATTCGCATGCGCTGTTTCCCATTCACACTTGACAGGTGCTGAAATTTTAATTTCACAGTCAGGATTCTAGTTTCGTCATCAATACAGACTATAGGGAAACTTGAAAACACATTATTGGGGGACATGTTAAAGGAATTTGAGGTCCTTGGAAAGTCACCTTGAATGTTAACACTATCAGGAGCAGATAACTAGACTCACCACAACCCCTTTAAAATAAAATTTCCAGGAATGTAAATCGAGGGAAAAACAAGTTATTTCTGTCTCACTTCAAGGAGCATTAACAGAAAACAGGGAAACAATCTAACCTCAAAGTGCCTTTCAGGATTAAGGGCAGAAGACAAACCTTTTTTATTTAAGACTTAGAAACTAAACATTGCCTTAAAGATCTTCCACCAAGAGGGTATAATTTGTACCCTGTAAAGCCTTTTCTTTTTCCTATAATTTTGAGACTATTTTTGGTCTATCCTTCAGCAATAAACACTCCCCACTAATGCCAACCTGCCCAACCCTGAAATATTCAAATCCTTCTTTTTGAATCCCAGTTGGCTCATTAATTTCACTTCAAAAGAGCATCAGTTCATTCCCGAAAGTGTTGACAAACTAACTAAAGGTACATGGATATGTATCTATCACCTCTAAATATAAAATAAAACATATATCCTAGTGCTAAAACCATAAAAGATTATGAAATCTGAATACCATATAATTGTCAAGTGTTATAAAATATTTTTCTTTTAATTTTCTCCAGCAATCTGAAAACAAAAAAAACATTCTAAGCTTGTAGGTCATACAGAAACAGGCAGTGGGATGGATTTGGTCCATGAACTGTAGGTGATGTGATCCCTGATTTAGACCAAAAAAACACCAAATGTACTTTACTGAATAAGTTCTGTTTTACATAAAATTCCACTACTATGTGACTTGGACCTCTTTCTCTTTAAATTTAAAATCACTCAATCAATCTCTTGGTTAATTTTAAGAATTTTCTTGCATCTGCTCTTGGTCAAATGATTAATCCTTCACATACCATGGTTTTTTTTTTTACCTAAATAACTGAAAGTTTGCAATGTTACAGAATATTACACTTTTAAGGGCAATTTGTCTAAAATGTCTGGGTATTACAATTTCCTTGACATTGGACATTTTATTCCAGAGTAATAAGATCTATTAAATCTCATCTCTTTTTTTTTTTTTTTTTTGAGAGGTTTTTTCGCTACAGGGAGCGTGTGCTCACCAGACAGACAGAGAGAGACAGAGAGACAGAAAGCGAGAAATCACCCTCCAGGGGGGATGGTCACACCGCAATCCCTTCTCCTCCATTCTCCTCTCGGGATCTTGGGCATGCACGCACACGCGCCTGGCGTGAGTTCTAAGCCACCAGGTCCGAGACGCGAACCGCGGTCGACTACGTGGGAGTCCAGCGACATAGCCATTACGCTAACTGCTGGTTCCCTCTCACATCTTTTAATATCTTAGGGTCACACCGTAATTGTCTCTCTTCCACTTTCTTCTTGGGATTTCTGGGCACACACACACCTTATCAGCGTGTTTTTTTCAAGCCATCAATTCGAGACTCAAACTGTGAAGTTGACCATGTGGAATCCAGCTGCCTTAATCACCATGCTACCAGATGGCCCATCTAATAAGCTTTTAGAACAAGGAGAATGATTTTTAATGACTTATGAATATTGTATATACTGAGTCGTCAGAAAAGTCATGACATATTTTTCTACATTTGTCTATGCAAAAATGTACCATGACTTTTCCGACAACCCTATATTCTATCCAACACATAAGAATCTTCTTTTTGAGACAACTAGGACCTTAACTAAACACTATGGAGAAACAATGTCATATGCCAGTTTTTAAAAAAAGGGAAAAAAAACAGGGGCCAGCAGGTGGCATGGTGATCATTGCACTGGTCTCCTACAGCTGACCACAGTTCGAGTCTCAGACCTGGCAGCTTGAAACTCATGCCTGGCATGTATGCCCAAGATCCCAAGAGGAGAATGGAGGAAAAGGGATTGTGCAAGGTCATTCCCCCCAGGGGTTGATTTCTCACTTTCCCTCTCTGTCACTCTCTGGGAGCACATGTGCCCAATGACAAAAACCTAAAAAGAAAAAAGAAAAAAGAACAAGAGGATCCTATATATATATGTTTTTAAAGAATCATTTTTTTTTTATTATAATTTGATCAGAGATTGAGAGAGACAGAAAGAGAGAAAGTGAGAAAGCAAGCGACCAGGTCCAGGACTCAAATCACGCTTAGCCATGTGGAAATCCAGCACCTGTTAACCACCATTGCACCCACCGGCCCTGAGGATTCTATATGTTAAACAAAGCAAAAAGCATTTTACTCTCAGGAAACCAATAAAAACTTGAAACCAAAGCATTCTCAAAATAAAGCTTGACTCTACTTGTTTATGCCTGGAAAAGGTTTGTAGAGTTCTAAATCCATTAGAAAAGGGTGGAGAAGGTTTTGTTAGTTTCATTCTAAATTAAAATGCTTATACTTACATTTTGTCTTGGCCAGCACCAACACGGAGAGTTAATCTGGGGATAACTGGGCTTGGGGCTGGAACGACTGGTTCTACTTTTACCTGTGGAAGTTAGTACATTAGCATTCATTAGTTTTTTTTCCCCACCAGCAAAAGTATCTCCCACCTCCTCTAACTTTCTCAACCCCACAAACTGAACAAACAAGTTTAAGCCTCAAATATGGCTAACATGCTAAAAGCAAAAGATAACCCGGGCTATTCTATGTTTCTCTTCCTCAATAACTAAAGGTCACCTGCCATAATGAGAAAGTCTATAAACTTTAATTATGTTGTGTAAATATGGAAGCTATCTCTATTTTGTTTGGTTAAATTTCTTTGATTTTATGGTTAGAATTCTTAAGCAAAAATATCTAGATTGGGGGCCAGCAAGTGGCGTGGTGGTTAAAGCGCTGGACTCTCACAGAGCTGACTACAGTTCGAGTCCTGGACCTGGGGGTTTGGAAATCACACTGGGAACATGTGTATGGGAACCCAAGATCCCAGCAGAACAGAGAAGGGACTGCAGTGTGGCTATTTCCAGTGGGGGATGATTTCTTACTTCCCTCTCACTGCTTCTCTGTCTCTCTCCAGTCAGTACATGTGCCCTATGGCAAAAATCTTTAAAAAAGATGATCTAGAGACCAGCAGTTTAGTGTAATGGCTATGTTGCTGGACTCTCACGTAGTCGACTACGGTTCGTGTCCCGGACCCAGTGACTTAAACTCATGCCGGGCGCGTTTGCGTGCATGCCCACGATCCCGAGAGGAGAATGAAAAAGGGATTGCGGCGTGGCCATCCCCCCTGAGGGGGTGATTTCTCGCTTTCTATCTCTCTGTCTCTCTGTCTCTCTCTGTCTGGCGAGCGCTCTCGTTGTCCTCCTGTGTCTGGCGAGCGCACCCACCCTATAGCAAAAACCTCTTAAAAAAAAAAAAAAAAGATGATCTAGATCCTTTGGTGGAAAATTTAAGTAACTGCCAGACTTAACATTAAGTAGAAAAACTACATTTTCCCTATAAAACACATCTACTTGTGGGACTTGATAAACATTAAACTCATCCTAAGTTTGCATTACCGTATAAGAAAGTTTTCCAAGTGTAATCACAGCATCAGAACTTCCATTGGAGGCCAGCCGTTAGTGTGGTGGTTTAGGTGGCTAGATCCCACATAACTGACTGTGCTGGTTAGAATCCCAGACCTAAAAGCCTGAAAAAACACACCAGACATATGTGCATGTATGCCTATAAAGCCGATAGGAGGATGGAGACTGCGGTGTAGCATCTGCCCTGGTGGGTGATCCTCAACTTGCCTTTCCCTTTCTCTTTCTCTCTCTCTCTCCCTAGCAAGTGTACAAATAGCAAATTAAATAAAAAAGGAAACACACACACACACACACACACACACACACACACACAGACAAAAGAAAAAGAAAACAAAGTTCTATTTTGGTTAGTAGTAAAAGATCTGAAATGCTATAAAAGAAAAAAAAAAAAGATCATTCTCTTTTTAGCAAAGATTCATGGCACAAGCAGATGGCATAGCGGCTATGTTAATGGGCTTCCATACAGCCAACCACAGTTCGTGTCCCAACTCGGGTAGCTTGAAAATCACGCCAGGGTGTGTATGTACGTGCATGCCTAACATCCCTGGAGGAAAATGGAGGAAAAGGGATTGTGGTGTGGCCACCTCCCCCATGGGGAGGTGATTTATCAATGTCCTTTTCATTTTCTCTCTCTGTCTCTTTTTCTTTTTCTGGCGAGTGCATGCACCCTAAAGCAAACTTCTAAAAAAACGAAAAGAAAAGAAAAGATATATGGTGAAGGCAATGACTCCTGAGTGAGTTGAAGACCTTATAAATATTTGAGCAGTTAGTCTGAGAGAGAAATATACAAATTAAATATCTTATTAAAAGGGTCCCATCACAATTTTTGGTTTGAAGATCTTATGATACATATTCTGAATAAACAAACTAAATAAAAACTGTGCAAGCCCTGTGTCAGAGTTTTCCAGCAGGTTTGATTGGCATTTTTTAAAAAGAATTATTTTATTTAACTTTATTTATTTATTTCAATCTGACCAGAGAGAGATAGAGTGAGTGAGTGAGTGAGTGAGAGAAAGAGAAAGAGAGAGAGAGAGAGAGAGAAAGTGAGAAAGCAAGCTGCCAGGTCTGGGACTTGAACTGCAGTTGGCCATGTGGGAGCCCAGTGCCCTTAATCACCATGCCACCTGCCGGTTCCTTGATTGGCACTTTTGCTAAAACAGTTCTTTGTTACTGGTCAGGAGCACTGCCAGATGTTTAACATTCCTGGCCTCAGGTGACAATATACTTATGCTGGTAGTTCACTGGCAGTTACTGAGAACTAGTTGCAAACCACTGATAAATAAATTTCAAGCTCAAGAATTACATCACAATGAAACTATGTAGATTCTAAAAGAAAAAAATGCTTAATTTATATATAGTTATTACTATATACAAAACTATATTTTACTTATATATAACTCTAAATATGTAATTATACATATTTATAAATGATTTATACATAGTTAATATATTATACATGGATCAAATCTTCCTTTTCATCATATATATTTATCTGCTTCCTTGTAGAGTTGTTTTTATTTTAATTTGTTTTTCTCTAATTCATTGTCACATCAAGAGCTACTGCTTTCATCATTCTTTTGAACAGTGCCTGGCATGCAAGAGGCATTCAATAAACATTTGCTGAATTACCAACTTATCTTGCAAGTGCCCTCAACCCTCTGGCCCCCTGCTTATTCCACTATTCATCCAGTACCAATCTAAAACTATTCTCCAAAGCACTGATTGATACTAAGAAAAAATTTTAAAATTCCATCTTTGTTTATGCCTTCACTACCAAATGTTTATTTGGATTACGAGCTAACCCAGACAAAGGCAGAGACCACATTTGTTTTGTTTAATGCTATTTCTCAGTGCTTATAACAAGGTCTGACACATAATAAGCATTTGGGATACATTTAAAGCATAACTATTATGCAATGATTCCAAAACCTTTACCTCTTGCATGACCCTTCCCATGATTTCCTTTCCCCTTTCACTCAGTAAACTGTATAGGGAACACTACTAAAGCCACTAGGGACTCCTTCAACTTCTTATAAACTTACAAACTTCTCTGCATCCACACCCGCACTAGAATCCACCTCCATCATTAGCTTATTTATGGACAGTATTTTCAACCTGTCTGTTCCAGTAATTATTTTCATCTATTTTAAATATGCTCAATCCTATCTTTAAAAAACCTTCCTTTCGGGGGCTGGCAGGTGGCATAGTAGTTAAGGAACTGAACTTTCATATGGCCGACCGTGGTTTGAGTCTTGGACCTGGCGGCTTGCTTCCTTGCTTTCTCTCTCCCTCTCCTACCCCTCTGGTCAAATTTTAGAAATAAGTAAATAAATAAATAAAGGTCAAATAATTCTGTCAGGGCCAGCTGGTGCCATGGTTGTTAAGGCACTGGACTCTCAAATGGCCAACCACAGTTTGAGTCCCAGATCCGGCAATGTGAGAATAGGTCCCATGAGTCCAAAATCCCAGGAGCGGAATAAAGGAGAAGAAAATGCAGCATTATCACTTTCAACTAAATATTCTATAAGTATTCCACTCTATCACATCCAGCTTACCTTATTATATCATCCTATCACAACCCCTTACTGGCCTCCCCACAAAAACCTCTGTCTCACTTTTTGGCTGATATCTCTGTCATTTGCCCAATTCTTCAGACATTATAGTTAAGTGGTTTTCCTCAAGGTCCCAGAGGGTCAAGAGTCACTGGAGTGGGGGTAGCCCAAGACTTGTGTATAACTAGCTAGGGTTTGTGTTTCCTTTCTTCAGTTTTTCTTTTTGAACACAGAATTCCATATTTAATCAAATCCGATAACCAATAATTCAGTCTGTATTTTGTGAACTATGAATACTTCCATATTTGTCTCACTTTCTGTGTTATCTGTAGGTGAATAAACAAATACAGCCGAAATAAATATTTATAACCTACTTACAACTTCCCAGGCATTGTGTTTGGCTATTTTTTCAGATGTTCTTTTTTTTAAAGATTCATTTATTTATTTAATTCCACTTGTTATTATTATTTTTTGATTTGAGCAGAGAGAGACAGAGAGAGAGAAAGGGAAAGCAAGAAAGCAAGCCACCAGGTCTGGGACTTGAACTGTGGTTGGCTGTGGGGGAATACAGTGCCTTTATCTACCATGCCACCTGCCAGCCCCTATTTTTCAGATTTTCTGATTCAGGATTTTTTAACAAACTTATAGGGTAGATATTATGGGTTCCATTTCACAGGTAAATTAATGACAGACTATTTTTCCTTTCTTTTCTACTTCATTTCCCTTTTCCATTTTATAGTCAAACAGCAAAACTGGGCTTAAATGTAGCCTTTTTGATTTAGACAATGAAAAATTACATAGCATTCCTGTATCTCCTCAATTCTAAAGAATTTTAGGGTCGAATACTCAGAAGTGGTAATGTATTGGGAATAATAGTTCTTATTCCTTCAACCCACTATACAATTATTTAAACATTAAAAATAACCTTTCTTTTTATTTAAAAATAAAGCTATTTGCCTTTCTGTAAAAAATATTTCTGCTTTACTATTATTATACTTTACATTATGTGTTTGGCCCATTTCTATTTACCATACCACACAATAATTCTAACTTACACTTGTATAGTACTTCACGAAATGTGTTCTATGCACATTATCGAACTTGACTGTTACAACTCTGTAAGGTGAAAGGCATTATTAGTCCCATGTAATGAGGGCTCAGAAAGAGGAAGTAGTTTGCCTAGAGTTATAACATTAGTAAATCAATGGGCTAAATTCAGTACTCCAGGCACCAAATTCAGCTCCTGTTCTACATCACTCACTACTCCTTGACTCTCTAAGACATGTTTTGAGTCCTCTTCTGATCATGTTGATGTCTGCATGGAGCTGTTACCTTTCTTGGCCAATGTTTCTTATGATGAATAATATATAGATGAGATGGCTAGGGTTAGTCAAAAAGTTTCGTTTTGTTTT